AATGCCTCCACCTTCGTAACTCCTCAACAGATGGCAGTACTGGTATGTGGCAGGTACTGGCTTGTTCAGTAGACTCTCCTCTACAGTTCCATTTTGGCAGGAAGACTTAGCATTCAACGGTTGTGTTGTTAAAGTGTGAAGTATGGAACCCTGTGCAGACGATCGGTCAATGCGACTTAAGCAACATGCAGTCATTGAATTCTTGACAGCAGAAGGTGTCACCCCAAAGAAGATTCATCAGAGAATGCAAACTGTTTATGGTGATTGTGTTGATGTGAATACTGTGCATTGTTGGGTGAGTAAGTTTAAAGATGCTGAGGTGGGAGTATCTGACTTGCATTACAAACAAAGAGTTGGATGTCCTATGACAGCAACCACCAAGTTTCACAAGCAAAAGGTTGACAGATCAATTCAGGATGATCGTTGTATCACTCAGAGAAAAATTTCAAGCATAATTGGCATTTCACAAGATCGTGTGGTTCACATTATTGCTTTGCTTGGTTATCGGAAGATCTGTGCACGATGGGTACCCAGGATGCTGATGCCTGAAATGAAAGCGCACAGACTTCTTCTGTGACAGCTTCAGAAAACGTGTTCATTGTTGGCAGAAATGTATTGAAATGTCTGGTGATTGGTTATGTGGAAAAGTGAATAGGTAAAGGTAAAGGTTGTCCCCTAACATGTCTGACTCTGGGGTGTGGTGCTCATCTTCATTTCTAAGCCGAAGAGCCCACGTTGTCCATAGACACCTCCAAAGTCATGTGGCTGGCATGACTGCATGGAGCGCAGTTACCTTCCCACCGGAGTGGTACCTATTGATTTACTCACATTTGCATGTTTTCGAACTGCTAGGTTGGCAGAAACTAGGGCTGACAGCGGAAGCTCACGCCGCTCCCCGGAATCGAACCTGCAACCTTTCGGTCAACAAGCTCAGTTAATTGTGTGCTTCCTTGGGAGAAATAATTTAAATAGATCTCATGCTCTTAACTTCAAGCATAGGAATTCTGTTTGTATATGCAGCAAAATGCTTTGGTTTTTATACCTGCCTTGATACACATATATGTAAACACACACACACATCACGATTTCCTTTCCAAATCACAAAGGATTGCTTAATTATAGAAACAACAGTATTTTGTAACATCTTATGTTACATGAGTACTGTAAACTGGGCGGACTGTGAAGTGCCAAGAGATACAAGGTCTCAGTTTTGTTGCAGGCTTCATGAATTGTGATTCAAAGCACCTTGGGGCTAAGCATTCCTCCCTTTGTCAACTTCCCTGCAAAAATCTAGACTCGTATTATGTCAGAGAACTTCACTATGTCAATATCAGATGAGCCAATCTTAATGTCATTTAACAAATGAGTGGAGAAAAGAGATCAACATGACATCCTGGAATGTTTATTTGAATCGAGAGAATAATCTGAAACAAAACTGGGCTCAAGTCTATACAATGCCATGTAAATTACTCCTTGGGATACCATATAGTAGTAGTTTATTAATGCTCAGATGATAGGTCATTTGCATACAAAATAAATAAATAAGATGCCATACAAGATTGTTTGTTTTTACTGTAGGAAACTATTCTAGTTTAAGATTCGATGCTGCTAATCCACAGTAGGATTGACTGGGACCAAAATGATGGATAAAGCATAAAATAATGAAACCCTACTCATTTAATGTAGTGGTATTTTAATACATTTTCAGTGACCGAGTTGTTTAACCCTTAATTTGAAGAAAGAAAAATAGCAAGGGTATGACCCAACAGAATAATTTGGCACCCAACTTGGCCAAACTGCAAGTATCTGAAACCACACATTCAACTGAATGCCATTAAATTGCCTGATATCTGATCCCAACAGACCATCTGGAGGACCTGGATGAAACCTTTTGTCAATACTATATATATATATATAGGTGTTGTGAAAAACACAATGAAATGTCATGCCACACTCAGTTCTTTCATAAGTGTTTATGATTCTCAATACTGGAGACCTGTAGTACACAAATGTAAACACTAAATAAAAGTACACTTCCTTCACCCATTTCAAATCAACTTCGAGTGGAATTCAGAATGGAGACTGCTATGACCACCTTGTGCCCTTCCTAGAGAAATAAGACAGGCCCCATCTCTCCCCTCCTTTCATAAGAGCTTGAAGACCTGGTGGTTTAAACAACCCTTTGAGATTGACTAGTTCTACCTCAGCCTCAGATATTGCTGAATATGGCCATATCTTTTTTCAACCACTTATCCAGATCACCTCCTCCCATTAGGCCCCGGAAATGAACAGCCATAGACTATACCTATTATTATTGCTACAGCATTGCACCTAATTTCCCGGACCCTCTAGAAATTGCACTAGCCTCATCTCGGCCTTTTTAAATTGCCTTGAACAGGCAGGATTATTTTAAATATATCTGTGCTATTGTGATTTTTTAATGCTTATATTGCTTTGTTAATTTTATGTTTATGTTGTTTACTCTGTATGTATTGATTATGTTACTTGGAAACCGCTCTGAATCCCCTCAGGGAATTAGAGCGGTATATAAATAAAGTTTTGTTGTTGTTGTGCCCCCTGATGGCGCAGGGGCTAAACCGCTGAGCTGCTGAACTTGATGACCAAAAGGCTGGAGGTTTGAATCCGGGGAGTGTGGTGAGCTCCCGCTGTTAGGCCCAGCTCCTGCCAACTTAGCAGTTCGAAAACATGCAAATGTGAGTAGATCAATAGGTACCACTTCTGCGGGAAGGTAATGGTGCTCCATGCAGTCATGCCAGCCACACGACCTTGGAGGTGTCTATGGACAATGCTGGCTCTTTGGCCTAGAAATGGAGATGAACACCACCCCTCAAAGTCAGACACGAGTAGACTTAATGTCAAGGGAAACCTTTAGCTTGCATTGTATATTATGTTGATATGTTTTAAGCATATTGCAGCCTTGAGAAGAGGCATGGTTGTTGTTGTTGTTGTTATTATTATCATGGTCAAAAGTATCACAATATAGTAAACTACATGCCTTTAACTAGATCAATTTATTGACTAACCTACCAACCATTACAAATGATAATGATGACCACGATAAACAGATACAAGGCGCCCAATGAAAAGGGAAAGGCATAAAGACATCCTCCTTTCCACTTTGGAGGCGCATCTACCGCAGGCCTGGGCAAACTTCGGCCCTCCAGGTGTTTTGGACTTCAACTCCCACAATTTCAAACAGCTGGTAGGCTGCCGAAGGCTTTCATGGCCAGAATCACTGGGTTGCTGCAAGTTTTTCAGGCAGTATGGCCATGTTCCAGAAGCATTCTCTCCTGACGTTTCACCTGCATCTATGGCAGGCATCCTCAGAGGTTGTGAGGTAAACGAACAGCATTAAAAAACAGGGGAACTCCAGACAAGAAACATCATAATAATAATAATAATAATAATAATAATAAAAAAACTTTATTTATACCCCGCTACCATCTCCCCAAGGGACTCGGTGCAGCTTACATGAGGGCGAGCCCACAATACATCAATACAAGCAATAACAACAACAATAAAACAATTAAAAACTCATAAACAGAAAAGCAATAAAATGACAGTAATACAACACACATTTAAAATAATTCATGTAGTCATGCCAGCCACATGACCTTGGAGGTGTTTACGGACAACGCCAGCTCTTCTGCTTAGAAATGGAGATGAGAATCTTTACTTCCCAACAAAGGATTCCCCCAGGCAGGAAGCAGCCAAGCCTTGAAGCTGCAAGGCTATTCAAAGCTAATCAAGGTGATCAATTGCACCATCAAGTAGACAAAAGTTCTTTCTCCCACGCTGGACATCCCACAGATATATAAACCTCACTTGCCTAGCTTCCAACAGACCTCACAACCTCTGAGGATGCCTGCCATAGAATCATAGAATCAAAGAGTTGGAAGAGACCTCATGGGCCATCCAGTCCAACCCCCTGCCAAGAAGCAGGAATATTGCATTCAAATCACCCCTGACAGATGGCCATCCAGCCCCTGTTTAAAAGCTTCCAAAGAAGGAGCCTCCACCACACTCCGGGGCAGAGAGTTCCACTGCTGAACGGCCCTCACAGTCAGGAAGTTCTTCCTCATGTTCAGATGGAATCTCCTTTCTTGTAGTTTGAAGCCATTGTTCCGCGTCCTAGTCTCCAGGGAAGCAGAAAACAAGCTTGCTCCCTCCTCCCTGTGGCTTCCTCTCACATATTTATACATGGCTATCATATCTCCTCTCAGCCTTCTCTTCTTCAGGCTAAACATGCCCAGCTCCTTAAGCTGCTCCCCATAGGGCTTGTTCTCCATACCCTTGATCATTTTTGTTGCCCTCCTCTGGACACATTCCAGCTTGTCAATATCTCTCTTGAATTGTGGTGCCAGGAGTGGTCTAACCAAAGCGGAATAGAGGGGTAGCATTACTTCCCTAGATCTGGGCGAAAGGTCAGGAGAGAATTATTCTGGGCCGAAGTTTGCCCAGGCCTGCTCTATTGTGATGAGTTAAAGGATTAACTGTCTGTCTCAGTGCTATGGAATCATGGCAGTTGTAATTTTACCAGGCCTTTAGATCTGGTTGCCAAAGAGAGCTGTTGCCCCAGGCTGTTGCCACAGGGCATTGCTAAAGCTCCAGCCTGAATTGAGTCCATAGTGCAGACAGGCCCTCGGAAGGAAGGAAGGAAGGAAGGAGGGAGGGAAGGAATGAAGGAGGGAGGGAGGGAAGGAAGGAAGAAGGGAAGGAGGGAAGGAAGGAAGGGAAGGAGGGAGGGAAGGAAGGAAGGAAGCAAGGAAGGAAGAAGGAGGGACGGAGGGAGGGAGGGAGGGAAGGAAGGAAGGAAGGAAGGAAGGAAGCCCACAGCCTCGCCCAAGCGGTGGGCGGGGCTTTGAGGCGCGTCCCCGACGCTCTCCGCTCTGTCTCCCTCTCTCTCTCTCTCGCCATTGGTCGAGGCGGGGCGGCCTGCCATTGGCGAGCTCCTCCTCCCGGGTGGGCGTGGCCTCCTCCGCCTGACGCTCCTTTTGGCCGGACGCCGCCGGAGCCGCGAGTGGCCCGCGATGCTGCTCCCGCCGCTGCCGCTGTTGGAGCCCCGCGGCGCCCCCGAAGCCCGAGCGGCCGGGCCCGAGATCCTCCTGGGACAGGGACAGGCCCAGCCCCGCGAGCAGCGCGGGCGAGAAGGGGTCGAGGAGGAGACCGAGGAAGAGGAGGAGGAAGAGGGGGGCGAGGAGCAGCGGCGGCGGCAGCAACGAGGCCGCGGCGGGGACATGGCCGGAGGGGCCGCCCGGAGAGGCGCGGCAGCAGCAGCTGGAGCGGGCAGCGAGAGCCCCGAGGCTGCGTCAGCCGCCCAGGAAGCAACCGAGGGAGCCGGTCCTCGTTGGGGCGCCCAGCACGCAGGAGCCCGGGAGCTGGCCGAGCTCTACTCCCCCGGTAAGAAAGGAAGGAAAGAGGGCTCTTGGTGGGCGGTTGCCTATGGATGATCAGCATTTGCTCCTTCGCACGTGGGGCATGATCAGTATTTCCTACACACACACACACACACACACACACACATATAATATCTATGTATATGTATATATAGGGCATTTCTTGTTCATCCCTCATGTGTGGAAAAATGTCTTATGTGTGGATATACCAGGCATTGTATAAAGCCAAGGCGTCAAGAGGGCCTCTGAGCATGTGCAGAGTGCCGGCTCCCAGCTCACAGTATGGAAGGACAGGCTATTAGGGATTGTGGGAGTTGGAAGTCCAGAACACCCGGAGGGTTGAAGTTTGCCCATGCCTGGGTTGTGTGTGTGTATACAGAGAGGGTATATTTCTTGTTCTTTCCTTATGTATGAGCCACAAAGCCAAGGCGTAAAGGGGGCCTCTGGGCATGTGCAAAGTGCCAGCTCCCAGCCCACAACACCTCTGGGCATGTGCAGGGTCCACAGTATTGTAGAACAGGCTGTTGGGAACTGTGGGAGTTGAAGTCCAGCACACCTGAAGGGCTGAAGTTTGCCCATATCTGGGTTGTGTGTGTATATATACAGAGAGAGTATATTTCTTGTTCTTCCCTCATGTATGAGCCACAAAGCCAAGGCATAAAGAGAGCCTCTGAGCATGTGCAGAGTGCCAACTCCCAGCCCACAGTATTGTAGAAAAGGGATGGGCAGGCTTCAATCCCCCAGGTGGTTTGGACTTCAACTCCCGCAATTCCTACCGGCTGCTGAAGTTTGCCCATGCCTGGGTTGTGTGTGTGTGTCTATACAGAGAAAGTATATTTCTTGTTCTTTCCTTATGTATAAGCCACAAAGCCAAGGCGTAAAGAGGGCCTCTGGGCATGTGCAGAGTGCCAACTCCCAGCCCACAGTATTGTAGAAAAGGGATGGGCAGGCTTCAGTCCCCCAGGTGGTTTGGACTTCAGCTCCCACAATTCCTCCCGGCTGTTGGGAATTGTGGGAGTTGAAGCCCGAAACACCTGGAGGGCTGAAGTTTGCCCATACCTGGGTTGTGTGTGTGTMTATACAGAGAGAGAGAGTACATTTCTTGTTTTTCCCTCATGTATGAGCCACAAAGCCAAGGCGTAAAGAGGGCCTCTGGGCATGTGCAGAGTACCGGCTCCAAGCCCTCAGTATTGTAGAACAGGCATGGGTAAGCTTCAGCCRGCCAGGTGTTTTGGACCTCAACTCCAATTCCTATAGGCTGTTAGGAATTGTGGGAATTGAAGTCCAAAACACCGAGAGGGCTGAAGTTTGCCCATGCCTAGGTTGTGTGCGTGCGTGTGTGTGTGTGTGTATATATATATATATATATATTACACACACACACACATACAGAGAGAGAGAAATTTCTTGTTCTTTCCTCATATATGAGCCACAAAGCCAAGGCGTAAAGAGGGCCTCTGGACACGTGTAGAGTGCCAGCTCCCAGCCCACTGTATTGTAGAACAGGCATTAAGCTTCAGCCCTCAGCAAAAGTATGATAGCTGGGACCCAATGGTGAGTGAGAGACGCAGGTGTGACAGAGTCGTGGCAAGATAGCTCGCCAGAAAGGGGGGGCAAAAGTGGGGGAACAAACAGCCAAGCATAATGCTTAAGGCTATCCAGTTATCGTATGCAAACACGTTCAAATACATCTTCGCTTCACTAATTCTGACCCGTGCCACGCAACCAGCATTGGGTCCCAGCTATCATACTTTTGCCCAGCCCTCCAGGTGTTTTGGACCTCAATTTCAAGCATTCCTATCGGCTGTTAGGAATTGTGGTAGTTGAAGTCCATAACACCAGGAGGGCTGAAGTTTGCCCATGCCTGGTGTGTCTGTGTGTGTATAGCCGCCTTGAGTCTCCTTCAGAGTCGAGAAGGGTAGGATGTAAATATAGTAAATTCTTGTTCTTCCCTCATGTAGGAAAGAGCCCTGGATTTGAACTCAGGGCTCTCTCTAGATCAATCGATAGATCGATCGATAGATAGATAAGGTAAAGGTTTCCCCTGATGTTAAGTCTAATCATGTCAGACTCTAGGGAACGATTCTCATCTCCATTTCTAAGCAGAAGAGTTGCCGTTGTCCGTAAACACCTCCAAGGTCATGTGGCTGGCATGACTGCATGGAGTGCCATTACCTTCCTGCAGAAGTGGTACCTATTGATCTACTCATATTTGCATGTTTCAAACTATTAGGTTGGCAGAAGCTGGAACTAACAGCGGGAGCTCATTCCACTCCCCAGATTCGAACTGCTGACCTTTTGGTCAGCAAGTTCAGCAGCTCAGCCATTTAACCCACTGTACCACTGGGGTGGATTCACACCAGAACAGCTTAACACATGGAAATATATATGAATATACACATATACATACTGTATAGCTGGGGTTCTCTTAAGCACTGGGAACATTATCATTTTTTGCCTCCTTGATCATTTCTTGCCTCAGATGGGATTCACATCTATTAGTCCTTTGCACATGGGTGTGCGTGTGTGTATGTATCCAGACAGTCCCCGAGTTACAAACATCCAAGTTAGAAATGACTCATAGTTAAGAATGGGGGGGGGGGAGTGAAACAATAGGAAGTGAGAGAAGTCTACCCTTCTGAAGGGAAATTCACTCCTGAAAGTTTTATCATCATGGGGAAAAGGAGTCTCCACTGAAGCTTTCTCACCAATCTTTGGAAGTGAGGGGAAATCTGAACAGGGGCACAGACAACAAAACAAAAACCACAGGGGTGTCAGTTCTCCCCTGTGCTATCACAAAGAAGTCTACAGGCCTTGTAAAAGGTGCACTTTGGCTGGGAAGGGATTCACACTCGGGACTCCTTCACACACAGAACATTCTTGTTTTTCTCCTTTGGTCACTATAGAATGAATGCAGTTTGACATCAGTTTAACTGCCACGGCTCAACAATGTTATGGAATTACTGGTTTTGGTGGTTTGGTGAGGCTCTAGCGCTCTTTGGGAAAGTTCATGTCTCTTATATAAAAGGGCAAAAACAGTGGAATGTGCGGCCTTGGAGTGTGGTATAGTCTCCTTTTTCTGGAGGTTTTTAAGCAGAGGCTGGATGGCCAGCTGCCAGGGGTGGTTTGATTGTGCATGGAAGGGGACTGAACCCTTGTTGTTTCTTCAACTCTATGATTCTAAGGTTTACTTTTTGAGGATTTTAAAAATACAAGCCATGGATACTTGAGGCCACAGATGCTGAGTCCATGAACGTTGAAAGCCGACAGTTCTTATTGCATTATGATGATGTTGTCCCATGATTTGATGGTGTCACATTTAGTGCTCTTCCTGCCCTCTTCATCCTCACAACAACCCTGTAAAGTAGGCCAACTGCAAAAATAGTTGTTTAAAGGCTACCCTGGTGAGTTTCATGACACCACTTTAACTACCATGGCTCAATGCTATGGAATCTTGGGAGCTGTAGTTTGGTGAGGGACCAGCACTTTTGGGCAGAGAAGTCTAAATGCTTTGTTAAATAAACTACAACACCCAGGATTCCATAACATTGTGTCGTAAAGTGGTATCAAACTGCATCAATTCTATAGTATAGATGCACCCTTATTGGTTACTTAAGTCTGGATCCTCCAAAGGTTAAGTTGACCTCTGTAATCACTTATATGCATATGACTTCCGTTTAAAGAAGGTGAGGTTTATGGTGATATGCATGCGCATAATCTAGAAATCATGTGCTTTTGTGACTTTAACATGCTAATCTAATTGATATGTTTCCCGTAGTAAGTTGACTGTAACTGGATGGCAATAACTGTAATTTCGCAGTCAGTATGCGAGGTGTGGCTGTATGGCTTAAGAAGGCAGCAGAAGGCGTTATGATAACTAGGGTGCTCATTACAGAGAATTATTATATGTAATACCAAATTGTTTTCTTAAGACATGTTGTGGCCATTCTTAAGCTTGTCGTGGCTGTTCTTGCCGCCAAACACAACAATTTTCCAGTAGTTAAACAGAAGTAACCACGTCCTGCCATTCAAGACTGTTTATTGTGACTTCGTTATCTTGTTGAAGAGCCTTCTTATCTGCTTCAACTTGGCAAATCTTTTGCCCTGGAGGTTTGCCAGAATTTCCTCATGTATTTTATAGATGTGGTGTTTGGCATATTTATTCCAACTGGCTATTGGTGGCTGGGGCTGCATCTACACAGTAGCATAAATACAGTTTGATACCACTTTTAACTGCCATGGCTTTTGGAAAATGGCATTCATAACCTTTTGGAAAACACCTTTTGGAAATCACAACTTTTTAAAGAAAAGCATGACCTTTCAGAGAAGAGCCAAAAACCCTTTTAGAGTAGAATCTTCTGTTGTGGTATACAACCAGATGTATTATGCTTGGCAATGGTTTCAGTTGTTAGACTGAATAACCTGTTATCTCAGTTCTGTTAGGAAAAGAGATTTTGCCATTGCATGAAAAACAGCAGTGCTTCAGACATATTTTTCAGTACCCGTGTGTACACACACACACACATACACACACACTTGCTGTACCTGCCACACATTGCTGTGTCCAACTTTCCCTCCCTCTTTCTCCCCCTTCCTTCCTTCCTTCCTTCCTTCCTTCCTTCCTTCCTTCCTTCCTTCCTTCCTTCTTTTTCTTTCCCTTCTTCTTTTTTCCTTCTCTACCTGTTTCTTTTCTCACTTCCTTTGCTCTTTGGTTCCATCCTTCCTTGTCTCTTTCCTTACTTCCCTCCCTCTTTCTCTTTTTCATTCCTTCTCTCCTTCCTTCCCTCTTTCACTTTTTTATTTCCTTCTCCCCTTCCTTCCTTCTCTACCTTTCTTCCTTTCCTTCTCTCCTTCCCTCCTTCTTTCCCTCTTTCTCTCCCTCCTTCCCTCCTTCCCTCCTTCCTTCCTTCCCCCTTTCTGTGTATTGTGTTTTGTGTGTGCATCTATCTGTGTATATATTTGTGTATATATGTGTGTGTGTGTGTGTTTGTGTACATATGTGGC